AACTTTAGCTATTTTTTGAGCTAAAAATAAAAAATATTTATTAGTAAAATTAAAAACTTTTATATGTAAGGAAAAATGCATATTTTACTAATTATAATTAGTAAAAAATTTAAGCGTTGTATTATTTTTGATTGCCACTGTATTTATTAATATTATTAAATTAAAATTTAATATTTTTAAAATTATATATTTTTCTTTAATAATAATAATATTATTTTTAATTATTTTAGAATTATTTTCAGTTTTAATAATTAATATTTTAGATTTTATTTTTATTTTACAAGCATCTTTAATTATTTTAATAATATTATTTATATTATATAAATATAATATAATATAATTATTATTATTTTTAATAAGATTTAAACTTTTTTTTTGAAAATAATATATTAAATATAAGTATTTTTATTAAATTTAATAATATCAAAATCTTTATAAATTTTAATATTTCTGATTTTAATATATTTCTTAATATTTTAAATTTATATATAATAAAAATATCTATTTAATTATATAAATAAATTATATTTATTTTATTGTTATTTTAATAAATTTGTGTTAAATAATATTAAATATTATTTTTTAATAAAAAATTATATATTTTAAATTTAAATTTATTATTATTTAATCTTTAATTATTAATAAATTAAATAATATATTAAAAAATAATAAAATAAAAAAAATTAGTAAATTTTATTTACTATATATTATAGAAATTATTATATTTTTTAATATTTAATTATAATCTTGATATTATATATATAATATACTCTGATTATAATTAATAATATCTTGTAGTAACATAATTTAAAATATTTAATATAATAAAAATATTATATTTAAATTAATATTAAATATATATATAAAAATATATATCTTTATTTTTTATTTATTAATATTTTTTATATAATTAAATTTTTATCTAGTATAATTAATTATTATATTTGATAAGATTATTTTATTCTTTTTGTATTATAAATATAATTATTAAAATTATTATAATTATTATAGTAAATATTATAATTTTTCTTTAATAAATCTTGTTTATATAAAAAATTATATTTTATATTTATTTTATTATCTAAAATTATTTTAAAAATTATAAGTAATTTAAAATAAATAAAATTATCAATATAATTTTTATATAAAGTATAATTATTGAAATTAATAATATTTTTATCTTTAGAAATATAATTATTTAATTTAAATATATAAAATTTATTATTATTTATATTAATTAAAATATAATTAATTAAATTAATATTATTAAATTAATTTTTTTAAAATAATTAAATATTTTATAAATATTATTTTCTTTATTTTTTGAATATTTATTATAAAAATTTAATATAATATTTTCATTATTATAGATAATTAAAATTAATTAATCAATTATTAAATATAAATGATTATAAATCTTAAATATATTTTCAAAAATTATAGAATCTATTTTTTTAATATTTTTTAATACTTAATATTTAATATTTTTTAATATCAAATTTTTCTGAATTTGAAATAATATTTTCATTTTGATTTAAATAATATTTTTACCTGAATTTGAAATAATATTTTCATATAAATAATAAATAAATATTTTTTGTTTTTTATTATCTTCAATAATTTAATAAAATTAAAATTTATATCTATTTCATATTGTAATTTTGATAATTTTATAATCATTTCATAATCTGTTTCATTTTCATAACTATAGTATATCTTCTTTTTTTAAAATTATATTCATCACAAATATAAATAATTAAAAATAATTGATTTTGATATAAATAATAAAAAAATATTAAATATATCTTCTAAAATTATCTTCTAAAATCATAAAGTCAATTAAATTTTTTTCACCTAATTCTTGACATTTTTCAATATCAATTTTTTCTGAATTTGATATAATATTATTATATAAATAATAAAGAAATATTTTTTATTTTTCATTGTTTTCAGGGTAATTGCAAGATTTCGTAGAGACAGGATCTTGTTTTTTCATATGTCTAGATAGATGTCAGCCTGGATTTTCAATGTCGTGTGACAAACGATAGTCTTGACAGCTGTGATGAAATCGCATGCTCAAATGAAGTTTTCTTTCATGACAAGAATCGAGGAATTGATTTTCGCAATCGATCCTAATGAAGAACTTGCCGAATGGTGTTCCTCTGACTTTGTCGTCAATCGCAAAAGATGTTCCGTTCCAATAAATCGTCAGCCCATCGCAGTACTTAACGAGCTCATGTTTCTGTACAAGGTGAATGCAGTTTTCCAAAAGCGATCTTGAAAATGTCCTATAAATTACGGATCGTTAAATAAAGGATTCGATCCGCCCTGTGCACAGGGTGGATTATTGAAAACTCTAAGATTGTTTTCCAAAAGCAATCTTGAAAACACTATAAATTACGGAACGTCAAATAAAGGATTCGATCCGCCCTGTGCACAGGGTGGATTATTGAAAACTCTAAGATTGTTTTCCAAAAGCAATTTTGAAAACACTATAAATTACGGAACGTCAAATAAAGGATTCGATCCGCCCGACTGTGCAGAGGTTATATTCTCGGTGTTCACAGGGCGGATTTCGTGTTCTGTTGATTTTTTTGGAATACCAAAAGACTGTTTGAGTCAAGCCGTTTTCCGCCGGATGTCCTGACGTTAGCAACCCTTCCAGAGGCAGTGTTGCACACGGGACTGTTTGGGACATTCGATGCAAGAAAAAAAAATAACTCAAAATTTTATTATAACAACCTGCTAAAAATTTTTAGCAACTAATTTTGCAAATATCGATATAGAGAGAGAGATAAATATATGTATATGTATTTTTGATATAGTTTTTAAGAGTTGGGACGGGACCAAAAAAGCTTTGGACATTCAAAATGTACTGCACTG